AAATATAGTCTTGATGGGCCTAATAAACCCTGGCACGAACGGGATTTAAGATTTTATCATCACAATCTACGGAATTCATGCAACGAACAGGGGATGTAAGTTGAACTTGCAAACGACTTTTGCTTCTTCCCAATGAAATTGCTGACTCCATTGGTGCCTCCCAGGGACCAGCTCCTGCAAGAGGGTATAACACTCAAGTTACGGGATTCGATCCCAGCAAAGGCATCCAGGACGTCATTGAATCTCACCGCAAAATGCTGTGCCCGCATAATCAGTGATGTTCACGAAAGGCTTCCCCCGTAGCCATTGATGTACGTTGAACTCTCTCTCATTCTGAACGTCTATTTGAATAATCTCGCATTGACGCATTTTAGTCGTGAGCACGGCCATTAATGGTCCAGACGCGTTGATAGTGTTTTTACCAAAACGATGGAATCTCTTTCGCAGCCGAGATAATCCGCGACCGCAAAATGTGGTCGTGAGGGTCTGGCCAAGCGACCAAAGTAAGCTTCCACAGGGATGATAATTTATGAAATGCGAACCTAACGTTTATTATATAATATAGTGTTGGGTGCGATGAAAAGTACGACTAAGCCGGCGGCACAGTTGTCCTTACGTGAAGGATCCGATCACGCATGGCCTGTCGTTTCAGCGAGAGCCGGTGGAATTCCCCTCGCGGATTCAACATGGAAAATTCGGTGCTGTCGTAAATCATCTCTTCTATTTCTATACCAGCAGTGAGCTTTGCGTCGGGATGAAGGAGCATACGGCAGATTGTGCGAAGGATGAGGTTGGTAATGCTGCCTGTTGGCTTTACTTTGCCGCTGTGCTTGCGAGATGGATCACTAAAATGGAGAGGGAAGCTAGTTTGTAGTATGAGCCTGGCGAGCCCATACTGCCATAAGAGGGAATCGATGTTAAGGATGAAGACTAGATTCGTGGAGTTTTCGAGTTGGATTGGGAGGATGGGGAAAACTAGTCCTAGGTGCACTGTACAGTACAGCGCATGTATATTTCCTCCTGGACAGTTGTATCCGACAAGTTGACCAAGTTCAGAGAAGAAAAAGGAGAAACAATTTGGCATTACAGAATCGTCAAGATGGAGAACAAAAGGCGGTGGTGGGGGAAGTTACTCGATGATGAACTAGTATTGGTGAATGTACTGTACCTGTAATTTATCTATTTCTAAATTGTACCAAACTGCCCTAGAATCCCCACCGCAATTCTTTAAACCAATCGTGATTTTTTATTTTTTATTTTTTTATAGCTTCTCCTTGTGTATCCCGGGCTTTAAAGCAGGTAGATTGCAACGTCTGTTATCTTATTGTCAAACATTTGCTAACATCTATGCGCTTTTGTAGATAGATATCTTTACAAGTAGGGTAATATACCAATGCGTATACCAATGCGCCATGCACAAGCGCCCTCTACCGTTGACGAAATGTTTACTATTATTACACTGTAGGGCGAAAGACTATCTGCGACGCCATGCATTCCTGTCAGCACCACTCTGGGTATCTACAAACTAGTAGAAAGTCTACAGACATGGGCAGTCCGGCCAGCCATCTAGTCACGTAAAGCTCGGTCAGGCCTCCTCACCAGTGGAGGGATATCCCAGCGGTCAATAAAAGATTTTGAATTTCCGTTGACCCATTCGACCACTCGGTGTCGCACATATCCCCCGAGAGAGAGAGAGAGAGATGAAAAGCGGATGTCGGCGAGATGTATATAATTATACAGCCTAAAGTCTCCGAAGGAGGAGGAGGATACACATATTCCAGGAATATGCTATGTATGCGGGGAAATACTATCCCGTCAGGAGATTGTATTAGTGACGCTGCAGTCCAGATTGCGGATTAATCCATCACTTCCCTCAGATGGCGGGCTACGTTTTTTTTGTTCCGTTGACGGGGGACACAATCGCGATTTGACGACGGGGTTTGTTTGTTCAGTCGCTATCGAGAATCTCTCTGCCGGGGGAATGTTCGCTGAGGAAGTGTGGTCTTGGTCAAGGGAGATAGCTAGCTATTGCTAGCTACCTGGTGAATGAGATGGAGCACATACCATTTGAATGAGGCTTTTTTTTCTCTCCTCTTCCCTTCTCTTCCCGCTGACATCGATCACTACGCACAATGGGGATTCCCCAACCGGGATGTCCAAGGGCCCATTGATTCCGGGGACGTGGCAAGTTTGGTAGGGGGGGGGGGGGGGTGGTGATCCGGTGTATTGTTGAGTGAGAAGTTGTGATTGCACTGAATTCAAAAAAAAAGTTCCCGTTTGGCAGGAGGAGGAGGGAGAAGGGATGGGAGAAAGGCCACTAACCAACCCAACCAACCAACAGACGAATCTATTCTCCCAGCGCCAGAAGGAGCACCGCTATCACCACTATCCCGTATCATCATACCGCACCGAAGATGAACCCCGCCACCGCACCAACGCTGATACCTGCTCGATCGAGTTGGTTGTGAATGACTTGTCCACAAAGCCCTCTCTACTCTAGCACCATACTTGTACTGTACCGTACTCGTACATTGTCCACGAGTACAGTACTGTACAGTACCTATCATACAGCACAGCGCTGGTCATTGCCAAACCCTTGCTCAACTCGCCGGTATAATCCGGAAGGGAGCACATTACAGTACGAGTATTTATGTCATAGGCTAGCAAGATAGTTTTCCTATAATAGATTGTACAAGTAGTCATTGATGGGGTTGGTTGGATTAGTGAATAGGTGGGGAAGACCAACTCTGTAAGAGCACGGTACGAGTATTCCTACCTTACTTGCACGGTAGGGTGGGGTAGGGTACTTTTTACTCCTCACGAGGCTTGGGGTTATAATTCCCTCAAGGAGGAAAAAAGAGAATATTATGGTAGTGCTCTTTTCTGAAGGCAAAAAAAGTGCTAATTGGCGGGAAAATCCGTACCGCGAAATGTGAAATGTTGGGAATGACAATTACTCACGGTGTGTGGGGGGGGAATGAAATGTTTTTTTAAAAAAAACCCCTCTCCCGCTTCTTGAAATAAATAAAATAATCTATCTGGTTGATTATTGGTCTTTCGTTATCGTAAGTGCAAGTTGTGATGGTTCAAAATTTCCTCTCTGTGGGAATGGGGGCGGAAAAAAAAAAAAAAAAAATGAAATGATGGGTTCAGCAGGCCAACCCTCTGGTTCACTTCTACGAGTTATCATACTGTAACTTACAGGATGCGAAAATAATAAAAATATAATGAAAAAAATTATACAGGAGGAAGTACTCGTAGGAGGACAGCAGTCTGCGATATAGTACAAGTACTGTACTCTACTCCACGGTACTGTGGATAACCAACTTTATCCCATACAGGAACGAACAAAATAATAATAAAAAAGTGATGGAAGGAGTGAGTGGTTCCCCGGGAAATAATTTATCCCAAACTTCTTCCATCATAAAAAGAAAAAAAGAAAAAAAAGAAAAAAAGTCGCCCACACAAACAAACCGGAACTTCCGGAAGTCTCCCGCTGATTTCCTTTATTATGTGGTCTATGCTTTTTTCCTCTGGTTTCGAATTCCCGAGTTAAATATAGATCTTTTTTTTTTTTCTTTTCTTTTCCCTTTTTGGATGGGATAAAGTACTACCCGTAGCTAGTATATCATACATACTCGAGTACGAGTACAATAAGACCTGGGCTGTGATAATAGTCACCCAGACCAGACTGAGAAAGCTGCGGTTGCGAGACAGAGCCTGTTAAAGGAGCAATACCCCCCCCCCCTCCTGACAAACCTGACCTGACCTGACCTGACCTGAACTGACATCCTAAAGCTAGCTGTAGTATGATACAGTACTATGCCACACCACACACAGATCATGAACACGAGCTCTACTAGTAGTCTACAGTATACCTCGGAGTACTCGCACAGGGCGGAGGAGGGTATCATAGTTATGATAAGTTAGTGTATGTCTTGGTACGACTCGCATCAACTCAGCGCGCGAAAAGAAATGACACCTTATTAGACTATAACTGGTACAGTACAGTACTGTACTGTACAAGTACACTCAACTTTTGAACTTACAACAACTCCGGCAATACCGGTACCGGCAAGCACGAGACCCTCAAAGAGTGTTCCAGTCATTCCTCCACCACCACACAGAATATTATTTATCACTTCAGCCCCCTCCACCAGCGCTGACACTCACCCATCATCCCAAAGCTTAAAAAGCGCCACCCGACACAAACTTATCCAGAGCACCCCCCCCCCCTTCGAGACCGAACCCCCGCAAAAACTGCACTACCAGTAGCACCTGCGGGTACAAGTACAATAAGTGCCTTCATCCCAAACACTACCAGATCTTGACCCAGCACTTTGGCACGGTCCGCCCGAAAGAGCGAGCCCCACTCCCCCCCCCCCCAATCTATGTACAGGATTTGCACTTCATCAGCCGCATTGAGGAGGAGGATCTAGGGTGAAGTGTGTGGCGTTGGGGCTGATGTCTTGGCATGTTCCATCTTGGAGCGGTGCAGCAGAGTTGCTATGATACTCGTACTTTACCGAGCGAGGAAGGAGCGAGGAGAGGAGTAACGTGGAAAAAAAGACTGCTGTTCGCTATCTCCGCATTCTGAGACAAAAAAGTCAAGAGTTCTGTGGCAGTGTTGGATCTCGTTACTCGTAAATTTACAGTCATACTCGAGTAGACTACCCGTATCTGCTTTTCTCAACCCTTGTCAACTCGTCAACAAAAACCTATTATAGGCTACGGTAATGCGTGATTTCACAGGGTTAATTGGAGACTGACAGAGATATCATAGCGAATCGAGACCCTTTTTACCCAGGCCGAGGGGATAAAGGAGGGAGGGATAGTAGTATCATAGCAATTATCACCACCGTAGCAAAAAAAAAGTACAGTACCGGTAATGTACTGTACGTCGGGCGAACGACACCAAGAGTCACAAATTCGAGATAAAAGACCGACAACAGGAAAATACCGTACCTTAGTTATAGTACCCCATCGCATGATACGCCAAGTTATGGTGCGAAATGATATAAAAATGCCTAGACTATACATATGTGTGGTATAAAAAATAAAATAAAATAAAAGACAACTCCATAACTTCGGCTTTCCAATACTATACCCTTGTTCCGCCCTCGCTTTTCCCCTTTATGCAAAAACAGCTACGAGTACTTCCCACAAGAGAAAAAAAAAAAAAGACAACCCCAAATCACCCCGCCATCTCTCAGCTTTCATTACCGGTACTGCTTCTGTTTCATACTTCCACCCGCCTACACCCCACCTCCCCACATCTTAGAGCTTCCCCCCTAACGAGCCATTAATAGTGATAGCGGCAAAAAACTTCCAATGTGATCGATTATACATGAGAAAAGAAATACAAGAACGGGTAGCAAAAGAAGAAGAAAAAAGCAACCTTTTTCCCCAAGACGTGATCGAGAGCTTGTCAACCATCATCTACATCGGCATATTTGCGAGCTCAGTGTCGATTTGTCGGTCGAGGAATGTTCGTCTCTCTCCCTGGCATTCGGTCTGTAGTCTCTGTTCCACCAATGCTCTCACTGAATTGTAAAAATGTCAGTCTTCGAAACAAGTTATATGTCGAGACAGACTCAAAACGTACCTTGCTTCTTTGTCACAGTCTCCAAGTCCACCTCTCTAAGGACCGCTCTAATTGCCTCGACAATCAACTCGTCATCTACCCCTCCCCCGGCTCTCATAAAATCTATTTGGCTTACCGGCCTACTAGCCGGGAAGTCGAGAGGGCTACGGCTAGGAGCCCTAGTCGGTGGGGTATTCATAGCCATCAAGTTGTCAGTGCTCGGTAATCCAGTGCTCATGGCGCCACGGTTGCCATGTCCATCCTGCCAGTAATCCCGGTTGCTCATACCGCCCATAGACATGAGGCGTTGGTGCTGATTATGATCACCCGGATGGCCGGTGAAGGCGGTATAAGCTGAGTAAGTAGACTGCCTGTTGTTCTGGAAGGCTGGCGATTGAGGAGGCATGTAGGGGTGGACACCGCCCATCTGAGGAAGACCAGTAAGAATGGTGGAGGCGGGCTTGACAGAGGAGTATGTCGATTGAATGTCATCAAGCTCAACGCCGTCCTCATATCCACTAGAAAACTTCTCGGGTGCACCGCCACGACGCCCAGGAAGAGAGTTTTGAGCTGCATAATCATCCCAGGTCTGAAGAGGAATGCTCCTGGGGTCGAAGCCTTCGTCTTCGGTCGCCACAATCTTCTTATCTCCGCTTTCGCCAATGACGATACGGGTGTTACCCCACGAGAAATCATCCTGAGCCCAGAAAGAGTAGACAGGGAGAATAAAGGAGTAAATCGGGAATGCCAGGATGTAAATGACCATCCAACCGACGTGCTGCCATTGTCGCTTAATGATGAAGATAATCGCCTGGAGACCATATACGACTGCAATCATGACCAACGAGAGAATTGGCATGGGGCCAGTCTTGCTTGCAATGACATAGATAAGGTAACCGAAGTAGACACATGTGGCCGGAAGGATAATAGTTCCCATCAAGTCCAGGAACACAACGAATCTCATAGAGAAGAAACAGAATCCGCACATTTCCTTAAGAAAGAACAATTCGAACAGATTATGAATGGTCGAGTTGATCCAGCGACGTCTCTGGGAGAGCAAAACGCTCCAGGTTTCAGGAGCAGCGGTGTGTGCGAAAGCGTCGGGGATAAACTTGTAGCTCATGTAGGGGAAGTGCTTGGTCATAAGGGTGGTTAGGTACCGATCTTCTCCAAGAGATAGCAAATTCTTCTTGTGCAGAGTGTCGACATTGCCATCCGAGTACTCATCAATGACCTTGCTGGAAATGATAAGCGGACGACCCTTGTCAGGAGTGCGCAAACGATACATGCAAAAGCTAAAGAGATCAGCCTAGCTCTCCTCCCAACAGGGGTTAAACCATACTTACCAACCAGGCAAACAAGTGACGGAAGCGAACAAACTCTCAAAAGCTTTGGCGAGATGATGAGAGATATAGTATTCGTAAACTTGAATCATGGTCCACCAACTGCGTTCCTCGTTTTCCAAACTAGTCTCCCCACAAATGCCCGCGATCTTGGCATCATTTGCGCATGCAGCCACGAGCCTGTTTAGGGAATCCTCCCTGACACTAGTATCGGCGTCAACCATGAGAAGGTATTCGTAGAGCTCAGGATCTACACCAATGATATTGTTGATCTGGTGGAACATTTCAAGTTGAAGAGGGGACATAGGAGTACGGTGGTGGACACGGTTAAGGAAATCCAGAAGCAGGACTTGAGAATCACGTTTACCACGATTACCAGGCTTCGACTTCCCGTGCTCAGATGGCTTTCCGACCTTGACGACAACCACATAAGGGACGACACACCCCTCGTATTCATAGAGACCAGAGTAGACCTTTCCGTAGTTGAGTTGAGCACTTCCTTCGCCAACGCTCTTGAATGGAAGAGCAGGAGGATCAATCTTGGGGTCAACACCAAGGATGTCAAGGATAATGCTGGGTGTAGGCCTGTCATTGCCTCCTCCGACAATCATACCATCGCAAACAACACAAAGCAGCTTTCTCTTGTTGTCATAGTTCAGTGCGGTCAACGAGTCGAGGGCCTTACGGAGTTGGTCTTCACCCTCTGTATAGGCAGGAATCTGGCAGATAACGAACTTATCTTGCATAGCGGGACGGCGCTTAGATCCAAGCTGAAGAGCAGCCAAGAACTTGGCAAGGATAACGGCGGAAATGATACCAGCAAATGCAGGAAGAATGTAGCTATTTACCTGACATTTGGCAGTTTTCCTGAAATCGGTTTTACCAACGTAAAAGAGATTATTGAGGCATCTGAGGGTCTGGGTCTGAGCAGTGGCATTCAATTGTTCGCGGAACTGCTTGGTGACATCAGAGCCGGGGTTGTTCTTGAAGATGTCTTCGAGGGTCGATCCAAGATAGTTGTAATTGGGAACATTGGCAGCGCCAGAGTTAGGGTTTTGATCAGCAGTGTAGAGGTAATCCGTGAGGTCGTAGATCTTTCCGTCAATAATCCCCCAAGGCTTGTTAAATGCCACACCATCCCTCTTGATTTTCTTACGATCCCAGACAAGGTCGCCTTTGCGGTACTCTTTAATCCTTGGGAGGAAGGTTTGGGAGTACCAATCGGCAGAATGGAGCTTGGAGGTGGGATCCTGGGCATTCCTCGGACCCGAAGCATGAACACCAACAACTAAGCGTTGAGCAGAGGTATCGTTATATTGCATGTTGATCAAATTGGACTGCACCAAGTCCGGGCATCCAAGGTTAATTGGAGGTGGGAAGTACGGGGAGAGATCCAAGCCGGCGAAATCAATCATATTGTCTCTAGTAGTTTTGATATTGGAATCACTGTGTTGAAGAGTCCAGAAAGAGGTGATATCGTAAACGTAGCCGTGAATACTGACCCAGAAATCGCCCTCACCTTGATGATACCCGACCTCCTTTCGATTCCAGGCTCTATCGTAGTCCGGACAAAGAAGTTTGGCGAAAAAGGCAATCCAGAAGACGATTGCAGCGTTGAGGATAAAGATAAAGAAGAAAAGAACAAATTTTTCTCTCCAGGCCATCCGGACGTCCGGTCTCTTCATCCTACCAACTAATCGGAGGACAAAGCCAGGAATCCACCAAGTCATCGCCCACACTACGGCGACCCATATTTTTCGGGTTTTCGACGTGGGGACGCTTTCAACGTTCTTAGGGGTGGCCATTTCGGGGTCAAGTTTCCCAGCATAGTGTTCTTGCTCGTATTTGGACAAAAGCGCTCCCTGCTCAGAACCGTCCCGATTGTGGGCGAGGGGAGAGCTTCCGGGAAGCCCTCTGCCCCCCATGCTGCCTTGGTTTTGCAAAAGCTGGGAAGTCGAGCCAGGCGGACTCATTCCCATTCCTCCCATTGGCCCAAAGTAACCACTTCCGTTGGTATTCTGAGTATAGCCGGTATCCACAGGTCCAGCGCCCATTCCCATCATATTCGGCGGGACCCCCGGCTGCTTCAAGTCAAGCATGTTCTCTGCCTCCCACCAACTGCCCTCTCTCATCCATACCCTCTCCCGTCCAACCACTACCTCCCCGTTGCTCCATCCTCTCTCAATGACCCAGCTCTCAACCCCGTCCCTACCGCTAGTACAACCAAGGGGAGAGTATCGAACAGCAAATTCGTCGAAATCAAAATCGGCTGTGAAGTCAAGATGTTTAGTTCGACGGTTGGCCCATTCCGGTAGTCTCCAACTTCTCAGCTGCCTACTAACTGCAGAAGCGGACCAAGGAACTGGCTGAAGACCGGATGGGATATCATCTGACGGGAAAAGTGATAAATGCCACCAAACTCTGCTAGCAGCGAGCAGTTGGGTGGCTTCAAATTTCACAGTCTCCGGGGATCGACCAAATTCGGTAGGGAATAGCAATTCTTTCAAAAATCCACCTTCCTCGGCATCTCGACCAGTCTTCTCAACGACACTCTCCCGCCGGTCTCTCTCATACTCTCTCTCCCGGCCATTACCCACTAATCCCTCCTTCTCGGCCTCGGCCCACGAGCTCCTCATTTCTCGCTGGACAGTCCCACTAGCACTCGGTATTTCGACGCCGTCCAGCTTCATTTCTACGTTGAGACCGCTCTCGTCATCAAAGACACCTTTGAGGCACAGAGCCTTGGCCATTTTTTCGTTCGGTAGCTCGAGGACGGTTATTTGTACGGTATCACCTTCCTGACTATCTTCAGAGCTCGACTCGGCATCCTTCCTAGCTGCAAAGTCTGCCGCTATGGCGTCATTTGCCTTTGCTACGATCCATTCGACAATGGCCTCGTATACGGCCGCAATGAATACTTCTCTCTCACCATCACCAACCTTTTTGGCCAGTATCTCTGGCTCAACACCAAGGAGGCCCGAAACATCTTCGCATACCTCCTCAATAATCTCATCATCGACCAATAAGCCAATCGCATTACCAAGCTTTAAGATTCCAGCAAGAGCTGAAAGTAGCCCCCGAAGAAGGCTTCCCTTGATCCCGACCGCCCTAAGATTGGCTCTCCAATCCTCTGCCGCTGCAGAATCATCTGCAGTTGGAAGGTAACTAGGAAGAGAATATGTGCCGCTCCTGGCCAACAAAGAGTACTTATCAGCGGGCTGCAGACCTAGGCCTTGCCTCTCGGCCGGGGCCGATGCTGCCGAGAGCAGGTAATAGAAAACATCGAACGCCCGATACCCCGCCTGAGCTGGGATTCGAAGGAGACCATTTTGGGTATCGAGGCCAGCAGCCGAGATAGAGATATGGGCACCGGTAATGGTTCCAGAGAGAGAGATTTGTAGAGTGATAGCAAGTCCGTTGTGATAAGGAACGGGGAATGGAGAGGAAGGTGTAAGGCATGAGGTGAACGCAGATATTAATGCAAGAGATGTATTCAGGATGTCGGGAGGTGAGGGGAGAGTTCCAAGAATTGGTAGAATCAACGAGGGGGAGTTTGAATGGAGAGACCTGAGAAAAGCGAAGTTAGTAAATTGTCTCCCAATACCGAAGCCAAGGTAGGATGGCAAAACAGTTGAAATCAAACGATGAGAAAATAGTAGCATACCCCAGGAGAATTGTCTGGTCCTCTGCCCGTCGTCTGGCGTGTTCCCAAGCTCTCGTCCCAAGTGTTTCGTCAATTACACTAGTGCCGTAGCCCCCTACTCCACCACTATTGCTCGAATTGACAACTAAAGTGGTACTCGCATCAAGAGCATGAGGAATGCTGGATTGGTAGGCATTGTGAAGGGTAGAAAGTAATGAAGAAGTGGTGACGGTTCCAGAAGTTTGTGCAGCATTACCACCGTACGGTGATGCTGAGGTCGTAGAATATATCGAATGCCGGTTAGAGAACGACATGATGAACAAACAGTACTGTGAAGGCTCCGTCAATTAAGCGTGCATGGAGAAGGATGGGGGTTGAAGGAAGCAATAGGATGGATCAGTAACAAGATAGATGGGTAGGTAACTCACTGAGAGTACGAGTAGTTCCCTCTGTGCGCAGGCTGTTGCCTCTTGCCAGATCAAATTCACAGAAGCACTCACTCGTTGACCACCGCGGTTTGGTGTGTGTGGGTTTGGTGTGTATAGTAAATAAAAAAAGAAAAGAAAAACAAAACAAAAGAAAAGGCCAATGGCAGAGCCCTAACTAAAGTCAAGCGAGTGTGCGGGTGGTGCAGAGGTCCAGTTTGAGCGTTTGGTAGAAGAGCTCAAAAATTGAAGATTATTATGCCCCAGCTGGGGGGTTGGTTATCGCGATTGCTATGGCCCACCGGCGGATAGAGTGAGTTGCCCGAGGTCTTTTTCCCCCTTTCCCCCTTTCCTAAAGATGGAAATAGACACACGGTCAAGGAGGCGAGAAAGGGAATCCCGAAACAAACCTTGCCAGAGTAACGAACTGTGGATTAACGAATGTGAATAGACGTCAACAAACAGAAAGAGAGAAAGAAAAGGCTCTTTCCTGTTTGAACGGGCAGAAGGGTTCGGAGGGGTGAGCACGAAGGGTGAATGTGGAATCGCTTTCCCTATCTCCACGTTCTCTTCACTTCCGCTCCTTTGAGCCCGTTCCTCTTGCTGGGTCTGTCCTGTTTTGTCCGGGTGCAGAATTCCTCCTGGTTCTCACGCTAATACTGGTACTCTTTGGCTTAAAACAGGCAAATTCACCCTTGGATGACTTTCTTTTGTGACAGGGCAACCCCATGTTCCCAATGCCCAACTTGGGAGGACCGGTTATCACCCTGGGCAACCAACCCGACGAGGACGAGTGATCGAAAAGTCAACATCGACCATTACATTTTTTCCGCCTTTTCAGCTCCGATCAGTGCTCTACCGTACCCAGTAAGAATTCTATTTTCTGCTGCACTACTCGTGATCCTTTTCCTCAACCGGAACTTACGGTATCATAGGAAACACGTCGTGACCAAAACACTCCATTCCAGCGAGGCTGCGCAAGGATTTTGTCGTAGTGCATGCCACACAAGAGATGATCAAAACAAACAGTGGAGAAAAGGGAAAAAGAAATATTCACAAGTGGCTGCCAAGGTTTCATGTTCCTGTCTTGCTCTACACGTTCGGTACTCGAGTCCTTGAGCACTGGACTGGCTTGTTCTAAACATAGCATTACAAGCTTCCGGATGACGAATAAGATTGAACCGGGCCAACGATCTTTACCCAATAAGGTGGCTTCCCCTGTCTCGTTCGGGCGAGTTGCACACCTTTCGAAGGTAATGCGTGGCGTGGGGTGGAAACTAAAGGGCCAAGATTTGATGCATGTCCCGCTTGAAAGAAACGACACACCCGCAAAAAAAAAAAGTAATGCTTTGGGAACGGGTGAGACATGGAAATCATGCGTAGTTCATACTGTAAAGCGATACCGCAACCGGTAAGCTTATGGCCCCTATTTTTGGGTGACTGTGCTCGAAGTATTAGTACCGATACCAGTGCTCGAGTTCACCACTCGAGCAGTGCTGAACACTCTCTGCCACAAGATGTGGCCAGTCGCGGTACCGGAATTATAGATTCTACTCCTACGAGGTGGAGGGGGGATTTTGCACTTGCGGTAATGACGGAAGACAACGCTGTGGCGTACTCGAGTGAGCTCACGAGAGCAAGAGTGGGGATGGAGGGAAGGAAGAGATTTCTGAGCCATCAATTCCGGCAAGCACCGGGTAGCTAAAACGATCAACCTGTGTTAATGAGGAGGGAGGGAGGGGTATTCACTGTACGAGCGCAGTACCCGAGCAGAAGTACTCGTACTGGTACTGGTAAGATGGATGGAGGGATGCTTGATGTGTACGGTACTCGAATAGTACCGGTACCGGTACAAGTACCATTTTATGGAGAAAGCGAAGGAAGATGAAAGGCAAGGGGCGGAGGGGAGGAGTCGATCTTTAGAGATACCGGTACTCGAGTACAGTATCTCTTATTCGTCATCTAGGAGGGATGAGTGGCAAGCTCTGATAGGATTTACAGACAGAAACAGGGGAGGGTTGCTAGTGGGGTCTGAGGAGGAGTGTTGTCCTTGAACTCGAGTATGGATGTGGGAGACCGGTCGGCCAGGGATTCTGGAGGCCTGGTAGTTTTACCCTCGTAGGAAACAAGAATGAATTCGGGATTTGAATTGCTCAAACAAGCAGCTTTGGCACCTCCGTCCAATCCCTGGCTGTCCGATCACCTACGTTCATGCGCGGGCAACTGTACTCGTGCTGTACAGTACGAGTATCATACTCGAGTACGGCACTTGCACTTTTATAAGTCTGATGCGACCCATCAACACACCTGCTCTCGCGGTGTTTCGCCTGCCGGGGAGCAAAATGGGGCCGGGAAAAGGGTTCTCAGAAGAATCGAAGCTGAGCGAAATATAACACTGTACCGCATTGGGGGGGATCTTTGACTCGGGAATGGCTAGAAACGGTTACCCATACAGGTAGAAAACGATGTACAAGTAGTAATATTATTATTATCATCATATTCATATAAATAAATAAAAATACAATTCAATAGAAAAACAACAACGGAAAAAAAATTGGAGGAAGAGGAGGAAAACAGCTGCTTCTACTGTATCCAATCAGTCGCATGCACAACAGCATAGGTTAAGGCCGCCGTGGTGCCATGGGGTTTGCTGGGAAAAAAAAACCCCCCTATCAGTCCCCGAAAACCACAAAGGACGGTAGACCAGCCAATCTCCTTCCTCCCCACCTCACTCGAATAAGCTCTCCCTTCCTTCTACGAGTAACCTTCTACCCTCGTGGCTTGGGCTTCTTGCTTTCCCTTCGCTGAATTACGTGCGGGTTCCCTCCCCCTTGTACCTACACCTTCATTTCTGTTTCCCCCCTCGGCCTTTCATACGCTCGCTTGCATTCTGCATTCTCGCCCTCTATTTTTTTGTTGTTCCCCACGCCGCCTGGTATTGTTTTCCTCGTCTTCACTCACAATCGCGACAACGAAAACGATCCATTTTATCGTTCAACCCCCTAGTCCTCGCCATCCATTCCCCGTACTTCACAAACTCCATTGAGCAGCCGTACATTCGTTTTCTATTCACTGGTATCTAGCATTTCTTTGTACACTTGCTCTAATAATTTTTTAATCAACTTGTTGCTCGGGGTTTTCCACCCCCCTCGACATTATAAACATCATGGCACAACAACAGACGCCGCAGTCCCAGCCATCGCTACCATCACTGCCAGCACATTTGCAGTCTGATACTCACATTACTGCTCACTTGGCATCTCGCTTTCATCTATCATTGCCCACGGCCAATATCAGTTCACAAGCTCTGGTTTCTTTGAACACCTACACTTCCCCTAATGTTGCGAGTAACGAGTTGGAGGCAATTGCAGGGCGAATGTGGCGGCGGTTGGGTGGACGAGGTGAAAATCAGGCAGTCATCTTCTTGTGGGTCCTCGCTTTCCTTCTTGTGTAGTTTGTAGCGAAGTTCCTAGTTGTTGGGGGAAAGGGGGGGGATTTTACAGTCCATATCTCCATTGCTAACAAACACCCAGAGGTGAATCTGGCTCCGGAAAAACCACACTTCGATCACACTTGCTTTCCCATGTCTTGTCCTTCACCTCAACTCCGCTCTCACAGAAAATATCCTTGTTTACTTTTCTCTTCGACTCTCTTACAACAACTAAATCCCTCACTACTCCCACCGCATCTAAGGCCGGTTTGTTCCTGGAGCTTCAGTATGACAACATCTCCCAAACGCTCATTGGTGGAAAACTTTTGGACCATCGTTTGGAGCGTTCCCGTGTCGCCGGTGTGCCTACCGGAGAAAGAAATTTCCACATCCTCTATTACCTGCTTGCCGGAACTTCCGATGCCGAAAAAGCCCATTTGGGGCTCAACAACTCTGCCACCGCGTCAAGCAATAGGCATAGCGGTGATGCATCAGGCCGTGGAGGCCAGAAGAGATGGCGTTATCTAGGGCACCCGACACAACTGAAGGTTGGTATCAATGACGCTGAAGGCTTCCAGCATTTTAAGACAGCACTCAGGAAGTTGGAATTTCCTCGACAAGAGATTGCCGAGATTTGCCAGCTTCTCGCCACTATTCTCCACATTGGTCAACTAGAATTTGCCAATGGCCATACAACACAAGCAAACGGGGAAGAATCTGGTGCCATGGAGGGGGGCGATCAAATTGTAAATGTTAAGAATAAGGATGTACTCGGAGTCATTTCCGCATTCTTGGGTGTTAGTACTGAGGCCTTGGAAAATTGTTTGAGTTACAAGACGAAGACATTGAATCGGGAAAGGGTAACGGTTATGCTTGACGCTAGAGGGGCTAGAGCTCATGCGGACGAGCTGGCAAGAACTTTATATTCGCTACTTGTCACATGGATAATCGAATCTGCCAACGAACGCATCTGTGCTGTTGAGGACGCAGTTGCCAACACAATCTCCATTATCGATTTTCCGGGCTTTACACAAGTTTCGGCCACCGGCAGTACCCTAGACCAACTGCTTAACAATGCTGCCACCGAAAGTTTGTACAACTTTTGTCTTCAAACATTTTTCGATCGACGGGCGGAGCAGCTTGAGAGTGAAGAGGTCGGCGTCTCAGCTACCAGCTACTTCGACAATTCCGATGCTGTTCGCGGTATTCTGAAACACGGGAATGGACTGCTTAGTATTCTTGACGATCAAACGAAACGCGGGAAAACCGATGCGCAGTTTTTGGAAAGTTTGAGGAAGCGATTCGACTCGAAGAATAACTCTGCCATTACTGTCGGATCTAGTGCATCCGTTGTCCCGGGGGCCGCTAGAAGTTTCACCATCAAACATTTCGCCGGGGAGGTAGAATATCCAGCGAATGGTCTCCTGGAGGAAAATGGCGAAATTATTTCCGGCGATCTCATGAATTTATTTCGCGGGACAACTAGCACGTTTATTACGGAATTGTTCAGTAGCAAGGCTGTCACTACTGTCCACCACCCGCGAGAAAAGACCGCCATTATGCAAGGTCAAATTGCGTCGAAGCCTTTGCGTATGCCAAGCGTGATGCGCAAGAGGGGCGAGCGGCCAGTGCGTGGAGCTGCCGGTGATACCAAGGGCTTAGCACTCGACTCTTCTGCTGAGATCAATACCGTTAGCTCCCCTGACCAAGGCGCGGCAGCCCAATTTGTTAGTGCCCTAGACACAGTAACACGGTCCCTTACTGGAACGAATACCAATCCCTACTTTGTTTTCTGTCTCAAACCTAATGACCGAAGGATTGCCAACCAATTCGATTCGAAGTGCGTCCGTACCCAAGTTCGGACATTTGGCATCGCAGAAATTTCGCAGAGAGTTCGGAATGCCGACTTTTCTGTCTTCTTGCCCTTCGGAGAGTTCTTAGGTCTTACGGAAGCTGAGAGCATTGTTGTTGGTAGTGAAAAGGAGAAGACCGAGTTTGTTGTTGAGGAGAAGAATTGGCCTATGAATGAGGCAAGAGTCGGAGCTACTGGTATCTTCCTCAGTGAGAGGTGTTGGTTTGAGATTGCCAATATTGGGGAAAGGGGCAGCTCTGCTAGGAGGTCAATGGCTGGTGCTGGCTTTTTGGATTCGGATGATCATAGCAACCCGCTCACACCTGTTGGTGAGTCTGGGGGAGGTCTGTTCGGGGGGTCTGATTCACGGGTCAGGCTAATCCCGAGTCATGGCGCTCCCGGCCCAGGGGGCTTGGGAACACATATCTACGGTACTGGTGATGGGAAAGGCGGTTTTTTCTCTAAGGCGGATGACCTGCGATCTGAAGCGGCCGCATCTGCCTTTCATTCGGGCGATATGTTCAGGAATTTCGATACCCGGCAGCAGATGGCAGAAAAGGGTCAGGCTGCTAGGGAGCAGGAGATAGAAGAGTTACCGGTTACAGCGGGCCGTAAGCGGTGGATGTTTGGTGTATGGGCTATTACATGGTTTATTCCCGATTTCCTTATTCGTTGGATTGGGGGAATGAAGCGAAAAGACATCCAGGTTGCCTGGCGGGAGAAGCTTGCTATCAACTTTATGATTTGGTTCCTGTGTGGTCTTTCGATTTTCTTCCTTGGTGAGTCTTATGCTAGCACGCACGCGGTTGAGCAATTGACTGATTTAGGTTTACAGTTTGGTTCCCGATGTTGATTTGCCCCAAACAAAATGTCTTCACTCTTGAGGAACTGTCCGATTACGACGGAGGCAAAGACCACATGCAAAAAACCGCATATGTTGCCATCCGTGGCGTGGTCTTTGATCTCACCGAATATGCGCCTTCACATTACCCATCGCTAGTCCCGAGAAAGAACATTATGGCCTACGGAGGCAGAGATGCAACCTCCTTATTCCCGGTACAAGTGTCAGCTCTTTGTGATGGTGTTGAAGGGTCTGTTAGTCCATATGTAGCTCTCGACTTCCAAGGCACCAATGCGACTGCAGACCGAGCGCTCGACAAGAATGCCCGTTACCATGATTTTAGGGCATATACTAATGACTCCCGGCCTGATTGGTTCTTTGAGCAGATGATGCTTCTTAAGGCAAATTACAGAAAGGGTGACATGGGATACTCGCAGAAGTATGTCAAGACTTTAGCGACTAAAAAGTCTCAGAACATAGCCATCATCGGCGACCGTGTTTACGATCTTAGTGATTATGCCGCTGGTGGAAGACGGATCGATCTTCCTCACAACACCGACGGCATTGATCAGACCCAAATCAATACCGATTTTATGGACACCATGGTTCTAGATTTGTTTACCCAGCGCTCGGGGCAAGATATCACCAAATATTGGAACGCTTTGCCTCTGACCGCAGACCGGAAGCATCGCATGAAGGTCTGTCTTGACAACCTGTTCTATGTCGGAAAGGTCGATACCCGTAACTCGGCACAATGTCTTTTCGCGCAGTATCTGCTTCTTGCTGTCTCCGCTATGATGTGTTCGGTCATCGCTTTCAAATTTTTGGCTGCGCTTCAATTCGGTCGCAAGAACATGCCCGAGAATCTCGATAAATTCATCATATGTCAAGTCCCCGCCTATACCGAAGATGAGGAGTCCCTCCGTCGCGCTATCGACTCGATTGCTAGAATGAAGTATGATGATAAACGCAAGCTCTTAGTCGTCGTTTGTGATGGTATGATTATTGGTCAAGGAAACGACAGGCCCACTCCGAGGATTGTATTGGACATCTTGGGTGTCTCCGATAGTGTCGACCCCGAACCTCTTTCCTTTGAGTCTTTGGGCGAAGGCCAGAAGCAACACAATATGGGCAAAGTCTACTCTGGATTGTATGAAGTCCAGGGACATATCGTACCGTTCATGGTTGTTGTCAAGGTTGGAAAGCCTTCGGAGGTTTCTCGGCCAGGTAACAGAGGAAAGCGCGATTCCCAGATGGTCATGATGAGATTCTTGAACCGTATCCATTACAACCTTCCCATGAGCCCTCTAGAGCTAGAAATGCATCACCAAATCCGAAACATTATCGGAGTGAACCCCACCTTTTATGAGTTCATGCTCCAGATCGACGCCGGTATGTTGCTAACCTGACACCTACATCCGCCTCTTGATTTCGATTGACTAACGAGCCGGCTAGATACCGTTGTTGCTACTGATTCTGCTACCCGTATGGTTGCTGCATTCTTGGCGGATACGAGAATCATCGCGCTTTGTGGCGAGACCGCACTTACCAACGCCAAACATTCGTTCATTACCATGATTCAAGTTTACGAATACTACATTTCACACAATTTAGCTAAAGCATTCGAGAGCTTGTTTGGCAGTGTCACTTGTCTGCCCGGTTGTTTCACCATGTACCGCGTTCGGGCTGCAGAGAGCGGCAAGCCACTCTTCGTCAGTAAAGAAATCATTGAAGCTTACTCCGAAATTCGCGTGGACACCCTTCATATGAAAAATCTTTTGCATCTTGGAGAAGATCGTTATCTGACAACCTTACTCCTCAAGCATCATCAGAAGTATAAGACCAAATACATCTTCAATGCCCATGCCTGGACTATCGCTCCTGATTCGTGGAGTGTGTTTATGTCACAACGTCGTCGATGGATTAATTCAACTCTTCACAACTTGATGGAACTGATGCCTATGCAGCAGCTGTGTGGTTTTTGCTGCTTCTCCATGAGGTTTATTGTCTTCTTGGATTTACTTTCAACGATCGTCCAACCAGTCACTGTCGGTTACATTGCTTATCTCATCTATCAAGTGGCCACAAGCTCCTCCGTTATTCCCATGATGGCCTTTGTCCTTCTTGGAGCCATTTACGGTCTACAGGCTATTATTTTTATTTTGAGGAGAAAGTGGGAGATGATCGGATGGATGGTTATCTATATCCTCGCCATTCCTGTCTTCAGTTTCGCCCTCCCTCTATACTCCTTCTGGCACATGGATGATTTCTCGTGGGGTAACACTCGTATCGTCACTGGCGAAAAAGGGCAGAAGATTGTCATTTCCGACGAGGGCAAATTTGATCCTGCGAGTATTCCTCGCAAGAAGTGGGAGGAGTACCAAGCAGAGCTCTGGGAAGCACAGACCCTCCGCGGCCATGATGATACCCGTTCGGAGGTTTCTGGGTACTCTTATGGGACCAAGTCTTATGCACCAGCACAGTCGGAATGGGGTGGATATGCAGCGCACAGCAGACCAATGTCCCAGCTTGACGTGCCGTTGCCCCGCAACCAAAGCCGCTTGAGCATAGCACCCTCAGAAATAGCTTCTCAACGCGGGTCTGCTTTCTTCGGCGGAGGAGGCATGAACGGAGCTGAGCTAGAGATGTGTACGATTGAGCTGCCCAATGACGACGCAGTATTAGCAGAGATACGAGAGATTTTGAGGACGGCTGACTTGATGACGGTGACGAAAAAGAGCATCAAGGCGGAATTAGAAAGGAAGTTTGGGATGGGATTAGATGCCAAGCGAGCCTATATCAATTCTGGTATGTTTTTCTCCCCTATCATTCTACTCTTACATGTTTCCCCTATACTAACAACACCTTTACAGCTACGGAGGCAATTCTCGGAGGCAATTTGTAATTTCTTTTAAGTACTGCAGTACGGGCTTTATGATTGCTTGTGAACGTTGCTTTTAATAAGGGCTATTTATCCACTGATACCTTTTCTTTTCCTTAAGATGGCAAACAAAAGCGGGTGACGGGAGGCAGAAAAGGGTCGGCGGGGGTCAATTAATTCATTATATGTTGCTATATTTATGCATGGATTTGGAGTAGCGTGTCGTTCATTTTTCCATTTCTTACTTTATTACATTTTCCTGTCCAGTAGTACCTATTTTAAATCCCACTTGATAGTACCCCCAGACTAGCCATTTTCTCCCTTGATTAGGAAAAATGGACAGGGCGATAGTGCCTGGATGTTAGGACGTTGTGTGGAGGGGCAGCATCGAGTGGTATTATGGGGATATGGCTATGGAGCCACTACCAAGGACTAGGTAAAGAGCTCAAACCCTTTTTCCCCACTCCTGCGGGTGAACCCCTCGGGATTTCCAACATGAGGTCCCGCTTATCAGAAACGATGGCTCCGGCAACTTTGGCTGCTGCCATTGTGTCTGGAGGTGATGCATACCCTTCACTTCATTCAGGGCCTTTTGACTCCACTTTCTGGCGTAACCGGCACAGCCTCTGGCTCATGTATCGGGGAAGGGAGAGGCAACAATATCTCCCACCATCTGTCTACTGTTCAATACGTTTCTACACTCTACCTTGTCCTCAAAACCCTTATCGGCTGGCGCAGCCTCCGACAACTAAGCGGACATCGAGATCCGAGAACGAGAGGATGATTGCCAATAATCCCTGGCCCTAGCCTAGAATCTCTATGAGCCGGATCGTGACCAGTGCCCTGCAGAGCCAGCGCACCAACAGAGAAAGAATGGACATCGAGCAATATGGTATGATGCATTTTGTGAATAGCTTAAGCTCTTAGTAAAGCTACCTCCTCGGAATCCTACTTGTCATATTCACAAACTCAATAACACACCTGAGCACCCACAGACCCATGGTGGAACCGTCCGCGTATTCCTTATCACACTGTTCTACAACACGAAGCCAAATATACCCAGAAAGAGCACAAGAACAGATAAGTAACAATTAGCCCAGCTCTCTCTGTGGCTCGACTTAGCAAACTCACAGGTCGATGTAACTGGGTATCCCGGAACATTGAGACACAATCCTAAGGGAGAACAGATAAGTGATTCTCTCTCGAGTAGCTTATCCCTTGCTCCTAGGTGCACCGAATCATACCCATTATCCCCGCCAAATCTCCTTCCCCGCATGCCCATATATCTAATGAATCCCCCATAATCACACTCCAGATTCACCCAAATCACGAGAGTACCGACAGGCTCCGATGGCCCAACTGTTGAGAGAGGTCGCCGCTAAGATTTACAGGAAGGTTGGGAGTTCGGCTTCCGGACGCGGGGGGGAATGTAGTAGGCGATAAATGAACAAGGATTGACTAAGGACTAAGCATTGGGGGAACTATCCTTTTTTTGTCAGTTGGTTTTTTGATATGTTTGCCCTATGTCATTCCTTCGTTAAGTAAGACAGGACGGTGTGATGCCCGGAGGGTTTTTACGGTGTTCAAGACGGGACGAAACGGGTACCGGCTGTGATTAACAGGTTAGCACCTTTTCAGATATAGGTCCTCACGCTGGGAATCAACTCTGTGCACCTTTGGGATGGCTGGGGGGGGGGGGGGTTCACATCTTTTCTTTCACAAAAAGTTTTTTTCTTCAGCAGAAATTCAGAGCGATTTGGAGCAACTAGGGTTCAGGCTTCAGAGGTGTACGGCAGCAGCACTATCGCACACATGAAAGACTCTCGGGGGTATAGATATGCGGTAGAAATGATCAATTCCCATATCCTTATGTTGCTGCCCGCGCTCAAGACCGCGGTGCATATACCCATGAGAGCTATGTATATATAGCGATACGGGTCCCGGTATTCTGAGGTGAACATGCTTCCGTCACATTGAAGCAATATTTCCGACAATCTGTTGTGACATGGCAGGGGTTGAGGCTTCCCATGAATGGAATGTCCGGAATGGAATAGGACGAATGGAATGCAGTGGATCAAGGGGCTGTATGAAAATCTATGAGGGTTGTGTTCTTTATGTATTTATTTATGATCTGCTCTGGTTGTCAAAGAAAGGGGCAAGAAAAAAATAGTCTTCTTCGACGGCCATTTTCACAAAATCCTTCCTCAATTCACAATTATAGCAAGTGAGATCGAGTGAGGGCAGATGATTTGATACTCTCACAACCCAAAACCCGTCTGTAACGTAAACACCAGCCAAGTGCCCACCAACGCCTGCTTGCTCGACCCAGTGTCGCCTTGCCAAAAAAAAACACAAAGGGCTACTCTTTAAAGCGTTGCTCACAGTAGGAAAACTAATCCGCGATTTCCCCACATCTACCATCCCAAAACTTGCGTCTCTAGCTAGAATCGTCCCCCGCGCACTTTGACCTACAATATAGTGCAACAATGAACAGAGTGAAACAGCGAACGTTATTCTCGGATCCACGGGAAATGGTAAAATGTGCTGTGGCTGCACATCATGCACTTTCACATATTATCGAGATGCTCCTAGTTTCGGCAACGAGGCGAGTGATATCGTGTGCCGATATCGCTTGATAGCCCTGTATCATAAGAACCCAACCCTTCCTTGCTGAACGATTTCACTTTAGGCTTGCACCTGAGGGGCCAATTCAAGATACCATAATAATATGAACGCGCTTTTATTAGAACCTACACTTAGGCTTTGTTTGCTGAGACGAGAAAAACACATTTTTTATAATGCGCTAACCAGAAAAAAAAATATCAAGTAAATCAAGAGGATGCAATTCACAGTATATAAGGCTCATGAATATTTTTTAAACTTATGAATATATACTCTACATGTCTGTGAAGCTTGCTGTGCAAAAAAAAATTGTTTGGTGTTGGGTGCCCATGTGTAGGTTCTAATAAAGATGCGTTTGTATTATATCATAGCCGATATTCGGCCAATTTCACAAGCCAGGGGGAATTTTTTGTGACCAGAAGGAACTGTTGCCTATCACAGCCTCCCAACCTCGGCATTGAAGCGATTCATGATGCAGCTATCATACACGCTGACCCCCTACGGCATCCCGGTGGGTTCACTACCTTTACTGCGGAACGGTATCATAGCCAGGCATTTCGAAGGACCAGAATTTTCTTACCCTCTCCTGGAAATGTGCAAACCCGGAGTCGGGGTAAGAGGCTCCGAAACCTGACTCATGTCTATCTTTATTCTTTTGTATAGACACCTAATCCACATTGCAAAGTGTGGCCCGGAGGGGAGAGTCCGGGATCGGTATGATACTTAGCATTTCAACGAGTAACACCCCGAGCCCGAAAATTGGCAGTCTCACATGGAAAAGTATATTAATATAGTGTCTAAAGTCCCCGGTCAGATTTTGAGGGGACAGTCTTGTCCCAGTTCTCCTCATCCGCGATGATTACATGTGCCATCACCATGCGGTAGTGATCAAACCTGTATATCCAGTTTCACATTCATTTGAAGCAAACTTGCTGGGAGACTTTCATCGAAGTAAGGCTGTTTCTTACTCAGTCTCTATCTCATGACATCCAGCCTACAACTGAGAATCTTCGGCGCCTACCCCAGGCCATACAGAATCAATGAAAATGGCATAAAGGGGAGAGGGAAGGGAAAAAAAGGTAGCCTTGTGCAAGGTCTCCACTTGCCCACCCTAGCTATGATACCCTTCTAGCAAATCCCTCCCCACGGCAAGTTCTCTCGGTACCCCAGCACACAGACACCTAACCCGAGCCGGGCCGTAGCCCGACCTCGCGAATACCACCGAAACATGGGCTGGGCAGAGAGGGGATTCCCACAGGGCGAGCATTGGCAGCTGACGTGAGGAGCATGGGACCTCGACTTTCCTAGCTACCTAGCCGCACGAACGCCTAGATTTGTTCCTATCGGTATCCTGATGGCTGTTCCCCGCCTAGACAACTTTTCCGAACAGAGCAGAAAGAGTAGCCCGAACCCCACTTTTCGCCTCCCGGCCCCGCTACTGCATGGGCTGCAAGTCTACTAGCGGCTCTGGGTCCAGCCCGTTATACTCGCAAAAAGCTATTATGACATCTCACCGGCCAAGTTGCCCAGGTCGTTGATGGGTCCTGGGCTTTCCCCCGCGTTGGACTGGTGTATTAAAGTATAGATTCCTCTCACTATAGATGAATATTCACGAAAAGGGGACTTACTCCATTCAGATACGGTCACGCATTAACTCCAAACATTGAAAAAAGCGCCACGGTTAGCAAATTGACTACCGAGTGACTTTACATGGATGGATGGACTGCCGGCGTCATTAGGGCAACTCGCACGTCGGCGCAACCCATGTCAGAGAGGGAAGGATTACCGCGGACAGCCGAGGGGCGCACCGGACACAGGCGACTATGCATGTTAGCACTCTGCATACTAGATCACTCGACCAGCTGCCTATTTGACTCCTGCTCACGTCCACGGTAGCGCCCCTGAATACGGTTAAGGATTCCCCAGGCTACAGTGATTATATTGTAACGAGAACTTACCATCCCCCCCCCCAAAAAAAAAAAAAAAAAGAAAGAAAAGAAAGACCCCCCCCCAAAGGCTCACGGCAATTAAATTGTCACGCGGATGGACAAATCACCAACCGATGTCCTATAGGAAGGCGCACAGAATTACATTTACAGTAAAGCACAAGTACTACTTGTAGAACAATACCCGCGCCAGGCGGCCGACCTGGTACAGTGCAGCAAAGAGAGACACAGAGGGGATGCGGTGGACCGCCTAACCCCCTAGGAGAAGGCGTTTCCGACGCGTAACAGCGCATA